CAAATTCACAGCAAATTCACAAATGTATACCATTTATTTATTTTTAAAAAAACATGATCATCTAGAGGATTTATAGCATGTGAAATTAATGCCTTTTGATATAAAAATTCAATATATAAATATTTGCCCACAGATATTCACATGTAGCATATAGTTGTTATAAAGATTAAATGAAATAAGTAATTTGAAATCACTTAGAGCAATTAAAATGCTATACAGAATAGAAATTATCTCTTTACCTTTGGTGAATCTAAGATTTATTTATTATGATATTATACTTAATGACCAAATATATTAAAATAATTCATAGATACTGAAATAATCATTATTAAATTCACCCCAACTTGATAAAAATATATGATAATGGATGAGCATTTTGCCATATGGAATATAATTCTTTCTATAATAATTCCATATTATAAAATCTCCCTAATTCATACATAAAAATCCAGAATAGTTAGTATAAAAGAGCAATCTTCATAAAGTATTTTTTTAAGCGTGATTAAGCATTGATTATTAACATATTTGAAACCCTGTTACAGAATTCTTGTGGAGTGTTAGAATGAATCAATAGAATATATCCGTGGCTGGTGAGGGGAGGGTTGTTCAGTTGGTTAGACCATCGTCCTGTACCCAAAAGGATTGTAGGTTTGAAAGCAACAATAAAATATAAACATTTATAGAAGGAAGCAACACTAATGGAATCCACTTCTTAGAGAAAATTAGACACAAACGTTAAAATTAGATCCATAAAAAATAAAATGGAATCAATGAGTCCATTGTGGAATAAAATTATTAAAAATACCAGTTTTATGGAATTAAAGTACCTTCTTAAATATTTAATTTTGAAAATTCAAGTTTAAGAATACATAGGAAATAATTAAGTCAAAGAGGACACCGATGCACCTCCCCCATTTTCACTGTGGTCAGTCCCTTTGAAAATATTGAATTTAGCAGTTACTCCAGTATGTTTTTCTCCAGATATGGTTTCTTTTCTTGCAAAGTCCTAAGATTTTTTTCTTGTCAACCTTAAGAACCACCTTAACATTTCCTATGCTTGTGAAAGAAGTTTTGACAGTGCATGAGAACAATAACTTAGAAGCGACTTTATTGTGGTTGTTTATTGTTTTGCTTGTTTGTTTGTTTACTTAAAGAGACATTAAAGTATTTAGAATGATGGGAGCCAAGTGGAGTTAGGATTATGGCCAACATATAGATATTTATTTTCATGTAATACCTAAATTGGTACTATTTTTAAATAATTTGTTATTGTAGTATGTAAGCCATTCACTCTTATAGAATTAAGTGTAAATAAATTAAACACAGCTCTTTAATGAAAGAAAATGTAGCAAGTATGCAAAGGAAATTATGCCTTGGGATTCTTCTGAACAACTATTTCAACATCACTTTTATGGTTTAAACTCTCTAGATTTTCATAGTAAAGATTTAGTTCCCCTACCTACTTATCTTTTTTAGAACTAGATTGTTCAGAGACTTTAAAATGAACCTGAACTTTTGCTTTTCAAATCTTAAAATTTCAGAGTTGCTTCGTTTGATTCTGTTTTTGCTTTCTCTAATTGTCATATGATTGTTGCCTACCCAACTGCTATGTGTTACCTATGAAAACATCACTTAAACAGCAGTATTGAAACCTGTAGATAAATTTAATTCTCTGTATCTGATTTCATTGTGCTTGTCCTAGCAATTTACATGCTAACCTTAGGTTATTGTAAGAGTGGGGTATGGAAGAACAGTGAAATGAAATTTAAGGTTATTTTATCATTTGTTCATGAAAGATAAATTTGAGCCAAGCAAAGGTAAATGTGTAGGAATATTTTCCCTGAATATCTGAGGTAAATATATCCTGCTTCTATAAAACCAAGCAGTGACTATTTATAGTCATATTTAGTAGCTAAGTTTCTATATTGGCCATTCAAAGAATTAAACTCAAAATTTTAAAGAAAATCCACTTTAATTTTTGTTTTGTTTGTAAATAATTTAGTATGTATAACAATACATATTCAACTAGAAAATGCAAGGGTTGGAATCAAACAATGGAGAATGAGGTTATTTAATCATGTATTTTTACATCCTGATAGCAGAGTTGAGTTTGTTATATATTGGTTTAACACTAACTTAAAGATATTTCGGAATATTTATATTATCATATATAACCTCTGTGAGGGCAGGTATGTTTATCTGTTTTTTTCACTGATATATTCTCAGTGCCTATAACAGTGCCTGGAATATGAAAATTGCTTAATAAATATTTTTGATAAGTGATTAAACTGTCATGATAGTAATTACTAACTAGAGGGTAAATATTCGTTTCAGGTTTGCAATATGTATTTTCATAACAGTTTTAGAAATGACATTGTCTTATTTTTTTCATTTTTTTCCATGGTTTTTAAAAACTCCAAATTAATTTTGAATGATAAAGCAAAGTTTAAAATATTTTATTTGATGATGTTATTAAACGGTAGAGTAGGACAGATTATAATGGGTTGGGAGAGGGAGACCGTTTGGAATTAGGTCACTTTCTTAATTCCTCCTCTTGTGTAGAGATATTGTAACATGCATGCAGTGTTTCTAAAAATGGTCTGTAGTATTCTTCTGCCAGTTGTAATGATGTGTAATACCTAAGGGTAAGACAAGAATAGAGTGGTAGTTTTAATTCCAGTTGTCAGTGTCCCATTTTTATTTTTGCTTATGTTTGCATGGTATTTATAAATTCACACACATAGACATTCATTTTTTAGGTGTCCTAGAGTCACAAGGTATAGTACACATGTATATGTATGCATATTAACTAATGGTAAGTATAAATAGGATACATTATTCTCAAATTTATAAAGGAGTATAAGGCCAATAATTCACAAGAGAATGAATCTTGAGGTTTCTATATTATGTAATCCCAATGCTCATCATTGAGCAAATGATGCTGAAAATACCACAGGCAATAGTATTTGGTGTTGTTTACTGAGATAGATAATTTCTTTAGCAATAGCATTGCTTAATATTATACTTAAAATGTTTTGTAAATGGCACCAATCACTCAAAACAGGAAAGTGGTTGAACCCTAAATACATACTTTTACAATTCAGTGAAAAGAAATATAAAGTGATATGTTTCAAGTTTATCTACTTTATTTATTGGTTCTCCTCATGACTTAAACCATCTCAATTGTTCTAACAAATGGATTTATTTTATTACTGATTGCAAATAGGAAAGTGTCCTTTTCTCCACTTTTTTGTTTTCTGACCTGTCCATGTGAATGTTTTTTTTAATGCAGATGCCCAGCTACACAGGGGGAAATTACTTAACATAATACATTGTCTGGCATAATCAAACCATTATGCCTATAGCAAGTTATGTCATTTCACGAGTCCTCTGTTTTTACTAAATTTTTTATTATTTATTTATTACTAATAAATACTGAGAACTTCCTTAATTACATACCTGTCTGCATTAATAGTTTTCCTTAATGGATTTTTAAATAACTATTTGTCAGCTAATTTTTTAAAACTTCTGAATGCATTGATAGCTGCATTAATACCTCTTTAATTATAACACATATAACATCTGATAGGGTTTATTGCAGTATGATACAAATTTTATTGTGTTTATATATTAACTACAAATGACATCTAGAAGCACATGAAATATTCCATGATACTATATATTAAAATGTATTTAATATACCAAAATTAATGCTATATTAAACAAATCTAGTTGAGAATAAAAATTGAGAATTAATAAAGGAAAACAAAAAACATTGAAAATTTAAATAATAAAAATTCCTTATTGAATTTTATCAGAAGAACCAGAGAACTGAAATAATTTGGCAGATTTTAGTGAGTTACAAATAATAAGCAATGTATTATAAAGAGCCAGAGATTCTTTGTTTTTTGACTCATTGGTTTAACTCAGCAAAGTGATTTCAAATGACTTTGTTCTTTTTAAACCCTAGTCAAGTTCTTCCTTTTTGTTGGTTAATTTTTATTTCACTGTGTAGATGTGAAAACCCGTTTCATATGGACTACTTTCTACCATGTATATACACAAATTCTCAGAGTTGAGCTATCTTCTAGTCCCGTTCTCCCACTGAATGTTTGGATATTATCTGCCAAATCATAAGTATGCAGAGCTAACCTGGTGATGCATCTTCTCTGTCACTACCTCCAAAGATGGAGTTCATTCTCCCCTGAAAACTATATTTTCCCCCAAAATGTTTTGTTAGGCAGCTGTTTGTATTAAACTAACAAAAATTTAGTTTCCTCCCTATAATTTATCCCTATTCTTATTCTTCTCATCCAAAGAAGGAAAACTTAATATGCTTTATGGATATTTTTTCCCATGTTTAAGTATTTGTCATATAAACTACTCTCCTCTCTGAAAGGACTTCTTTTTAATCCAAACTTACCATGCCTCTCATATATCATGATTCTTTATTTTCTGTTATTTAGATCGATTTTACATTTTGATGCCCAGAACAAAACACTCAAAATAGTGTATATCTTCATTACCAATAGAAGAATTGCATTTGAAATCCATATTATAACAAAGAATAATGATTACTAGTATATTTTTCTGATTGGTAACATATTCCTTTACTTTTCCCTAACCATTGAATTAAATATTTTAATTATTTTTATTACCTTTAACTAAGTTGGTATGTCATAATTTATCTTTTATAAATGTTATCAATGGTGGACACTTTTATAACTTCCTAGTCCTTTTAATTACTGTAGATAACTCTAGATGTCTTGTTTCATTTTACATCTTAATGTAAAAATGCATATTTTATTTTTAAAAAATCTGATAGTTTATTTAACTGTTGATTGTACTATTTTTGTTTAATGATTTTAAATTAAACTGAGTAATTATTAAACATACATTTAATTGTCAGCTTTACTAATTTCTTCTTCCTCTTCCTCTTTCTCTATCTCTTTTTTTCTTTTTCTTTTCTTTTTGACAGTACTCTGCGGGGGGGGGGTACAACGAACTTTGAGCCTTGTACCTGGTATGGACTTGTTGTCCGGGACGTATATATTTGCGGTCCTGTTAGCATGCGTCGTGTTTCAGTCTGGCGCCCAGGAGAAAAACTATTCCATTCGAGAAGAAATGCCAGAAAACGTCCTGATAGGCGACTTGTTGAAAGACCTCAACCTGTCCTTAATTCGACACAAGTCCTTAAAAATTCCCATGAAGTTCAAGCTAGTGTACAAGACTGGGGAAGTGCCACTGATCCGAATCGAAGAAGGTACTGGTGAGATCTTCACTACTGGAGCCCGCATTGATCGTGAGAAATTATGTACTGGTATCTTGCTGGATGGCCGTTGCTTTTATGAAGTGGAAGTTGCCGTTTTGCCAGATGAAATATTTAGACTGGTTAAGATACGTTTTCTGATAGAAGATATAAATGATAATGCACCATTATTCCCAGCAACCGTTATCAACATATCAATTCCAGAGAACTCAGCTATAAACTCTCGATTTGCTCTCCCAGCGGCCATTGATCCTGACATAGGAATAAATGGAGTGCAAAACTACCAACTCATTAAGGTGCGTTTTAAAAACATTTTGTTAGAGAAAATTCATTTTTTTAAAGACAAAAAGAATGGTCTTAGAGTACTTCAAAATTTGAGTAAGTCATCACCTTAATTTTTCAAAGTTTAAGCAAAGTATTGTGGAGAAAATTAATCAATGCAATTTTTGAAATTGAATAGGGTTTATTAATCTGAATCTTCATTTTATGTGTATTAATTTTCACCAATTGTTAGTGTTTCCCTTAATCCACTAATGTGGTAAGACAAGGGACTCAACCATACTACTTACAAATCAATAACCAACCCTATAACTTACTTTTAATCCGTCTGATTATGATTGCCACAAATTTGAACTAAACACACAAATCTAAAAGTTAAGAATGAATTGAGACATCAATTTTTCTCAGTGATTATTTTTGATAGAAACCTTTATCTTGCCTTTTGAAAATATTCTGGATAAATTTATTTGAGAGATTTTTCATTATTAGCATTTCTACACATATATAGAATAATGAAAATTATTTTTCATAATGATTTTCAAGTCAAGGTAAGATCTTTAAGCATTATGAGTCATCAAAATGAGGGTAAATTTCAGCCAATGTGCTGTTTGTTAATGTTAAATATTTTCATTTTTTTTCCAATTCTTTGAAAACACAGAGGATTTATTTGCACTAGAGGGTAAGTAAACCTTTTAGTGAAAAAGCTTCAATTAATCCGAAGAACCTATTTTGTCTTGAGTTGGGTCTTGGATGGGGAAGGCAGAGAGAAGATTAAATGGTTTCTTCAAAATATTTTAATTGCCTATGTGATATATAAAGCAGTAGAAAACTCAGATTTTGGTATTTGAAATAGTACAATGTGCTTGAATGATCTTGAAAAATGTGTAAAAGAACAAATGTGTAGATTTAATATAGAGATGGTCAAGGGATTTTCAAAATTTTATAAACATTTTTTGACAATTCATTACCAGATTGCATAGGGTTTATGAATAACATGAGTAACATGATCAATGCTAAAAGTATTCAAAGTTCACATAAATAAGATATTTTAATGTATATTACCTGAAGGTTTTGGAATGGAAGATGTGAAATATTGGAAAACTTCTCAGCTGATGCCAATATGTGGTGAAGGTATATTTATAAATTCATTTAGAAATTGAAGGCTACAGAACTCTTGAGTGAATTTGAGTGATATGCAAATTTGTGTGTGAATATAAGTAAAAATAGAAAGAGAAGTGATAGGTTATTTATAAATAAGCATTTAGGTAAAATCTATTCAGTGGAAAAAGTTGTAAGAATAAGAAAAGTATAGATCACAATTTTGTATTTAGAAAAAGTAGATAAGCCCCTTCCAGCTTAATATTTTTGACCATTAGTTTCTTCTATCATAATATGAAGATGATGATGTAAATGTCACAGGGGCAGAATTGGAAAGAATAAACACTAACTAGAGAGTAGATATAACGTCATAAAATATTTTTGGAGATGCTTTAAAATATGTGGCAATTTATAGAAATGTGAGGCTTAGTGAATACTATCTTTAAAGCAACACTGTCAATAGAACTTTCTGCAATGACTACATTTCTATAATATGTGATATCCAATATAGTAATTACTGGCCACACGTGGCTATTGAATACTTGAAATAGGATTAGTGTTACCATTGAACTGAATTTTAAATTTTATTTAATCTTAATTTTAATTGCCATATATGGTGGTAGCTACCATATTAGACAGCACAGTCTAAGCAAAATCAGTTTAATTTGAAAGTAAAATTTAACAGGTAAAAGCAAAGACTTGTCAAATTAAAAACATTTCATTCTACTTTAGAATGTATGATAAGCCAAAAGTGAACTATACAATGCACCTAAACTACTGGGGCATTTGTATGGCTCCATGTACAAGTAATATTCTGACTCTTTGTTTAAAATAATGAGTATGGAATATAAAGCTAATACCTGGGCATGCAGAGGGCTAAGACATGGGTGATGTTAACTGAGTGTACTTTGACTTACAGAAAGGTCCTGTCATGAAAATAGTACGTATCCTGGCAGGATAGAGAGGTTAAATAAAAGGAAGAAAATAAGCATGTTTTGATTAATCCATAAACTTTAATAAATATTACAATTTGAAAGTAAGTAAGCTAACCATCGTAATGTATTTTAAAAGACCCTCTGTCCAGCAGAATAAAATAAGAATTTAATTAACACTTATTTGTTCTATTTTTGTTAATTAGACAAGACTAACAAAATCATAGTTTACCCTAACTAGGGAAATATAAAATCCATATGAAAAAAATCACATAATAAAGGGGGAAATAATTTTTAACATTCTAGGCAAAAATACGTCAGTTTGTACATGAAAGGGTCCTGCTTTTGACAACTGTATATTAATTAACTAAAAATAAAGGCAGTGGTAGATGAATGGCAGCATGAGAGAATCCCTTGGTTTCTCCCCTTGAAGTTTCAACAATTTGAATGGCTATAACTCTACAAGGGATTCCATAGTGAATGCACAAACACACCTGAGAGATATGCACATTGAAACATCTAAAGGTGGGCAAGTCTGAGTGAAGGCGGGGAGGTGAGAAAGGCAGGAAGCTGAAAGGAGCCACACTTGCAGTTCTGCAGCTGAAAGCTCACAGTGAGGCTTGGCCTGGAAAGGGGAGGAATTGAGTTGTAGCTCCTACCCCATTCAGCCAGGAGGAGCAAAGAAATTTAGTGAGCATTCCTATAAGAGTAAACAGTACAGGCTGTGGCTGAGCCCAGGTTCCTGGTCAAGACACAGCACCGGAGTGAGGAAGCGGTTGTAGGTCAGTCAGCATTCCAGAAGGAGAAACAAAGCCATAGAGCTTGGTTACCCATAGCCTCCCAGAGCTCGCCTCCCTTTGTCCTTGGTATCTAGTTATGAAGCACACTATCTGCAAGCTGGAGAAATGGTCCTACAGAATCAATTTCATCCCTGAGCAAAGAGTGCACTCTGTGACTGGTTTCAGGGTTGGGGCACAGAGAGGACTCCCAGAAGTCAGGATGGCTGAGATCACCGTAACTCAAATGGCAAAACAACACAGAAGACTGCTGGGTTCCCCCAGCTCAGCTCATCCCACCCCAAGGAACTGCAACTACACTGATGGCAGTATCTGGCTATGGTGACAGCACTGGGATTTCACAGACATAAAAACTTGTGATTTAGCTCCACCTATTGGAAAATAATAAAAGGCCTATTCATATTAATCTGCTAGAGAAGTGTCACCTATATATAGATGCCTACACAGAGAAGGAATCCATCAACTACCATGAATAACCAAGGTAATGAGGCAGTTTGAAAAGAAAATGAAAAATATCCAAAATCAAACATGAAGACATGGAAATATGTGATTTAAATGACAAAGAAATAAAGATTATAGTTCTGAAAAAACTCAATGTGATGCAAGAAAACACAGATAGGGAGCTTAATGAACTGAGAAACCAAATCAAGGAACAAAACGAGTACTTTACTAAAAATATTAAAACTTAAATAAAATAAACAAATAGATATTGTGGAGATGAAGAACTTAATAAAGGATATCAAGAATGAACTATAGAGCCTGGCAGTGTGGCTCAGTGGTTGAGCGTTGACCCATGAACCAGGAGGTCACAGTTTGATGCCCGGTCAGGGCATGTTCCAGGGTTGTGAGCTCTATCCTAAGTAGGGGACATGCAGGAGGAAGCTGATCAATGATTCTCTGTCATCATTGCTGTTTCTATATCTCTCTCTCACTCTCCTCTCTCTGAAATCAGTAAAAAAAAAGAAAAAAAAGAATGAAATAGCAAGAATAGGAAATAGAGCTGACCAGATGGAGTAAAGGATTAGTGGTATCAGGTAGAAATCTAGATATGACAGAAAGGGAAAAAGAGAGAAAATTGAGCATAAAAAAATAAAATAACTCTAAGAGAACTATCTGACTCTATCAGAAAGAGCAATATAAGAATAATAGGCATACCAAAAGAAAAAGAAGAGAGAGAAGGGAGCAGAGAACCTATTCAAACACATAGCTGATGAAAACATCTCAAACTTATAAAAGAGCTAGATCCTGGAATCCAAGAAGGAAACAGAACACCTAATTACCTCACTCCAAAAAGGCCTTTTCCAAGGTACACTATATTAAAACTGTCAAAAATTAATGACAAAAAATAATTCTCAAAGCCGACAGAGAAAAGAAGAAAGTAACCTATAAAGGGATGTCCATTAGGTTATCATCGAACTTCTCAGCAGAAACCCTACAAGCTAGAAGAGAGTGGAACCAAATATTCAAACTACTGAAAGAAAGAAATTACTAACCAAGTATAATATATCCAGCAAAACTTATCCTTTAGATATGAAGGAGAAATAGAAAAAAGACCTCCATTGCATGAAGTACTTAAGGGGATTATTCTACCTGAAGCAATAAAGTATCGCAAAACTATGAGTAAGATCACCAACAACCTTATTGCAAAAACACAGATGATTTGTGACAACAACAAAAATAAATAAATAAAAGGGGAGGGGATAAAGGTCTGAATTTGAAAAGGAGGACGGAGCCAGATTCATTCAAAAGAAAAAGGACTACTGTATTTATGAAACTCTCTTTTTCATAACGCTAATGGTAACCACACATGAAAACCTAAAACTTAGACACCTAACTCTAAAAAAGATGAAACAGAGGAAAGAAATATGGAACCCATTAAAGAAAAACAACAGACAGAAACACAAAGGAAAAGAACCAACGGAGGCACAGAGCTACCAGAAAAAAAAGGATAAAATGGCTATAGGAAATCCTCATACACCAAGAATTACTCTAAATATAAACGGACTTAATTCACCAATAAAGAGGCACAGAGCAGCAGATTGGATCAAAAACAAAACCCAGCCATATGATGGCTTCAGGAGGCTCAGCTAAGCTGCAAAGACAAAATTTGACTTAAAGTGAAGGGGGAGAATTATTCTCTAAGCAAATAACATCCACAGGAATGCAAGTGTAGCCATACTTATATTTGAC